TGTATTTTATTATATATGTAGCATTGTTGGAGGAGCTCAGGTCAGAATAATTTCATTGCCATTTATAAAACGGACAAGTAAAATCAAGCAATCTGATTGGTTCTTACCCGTGGTATACTGAGCGTATACCACGGGTAGAATTGTAAGTTACTTTTCACAACAACTCAGTATCCCTCCCGCGTCTGAGATAAACAGTATACAGTTGGTCTGAAAAGCAAACTGCCTTGCAGTTTTGCTTTTCAGACTGGAACAAGAAAGCAGCGGAGAAGTAACGGGGCAGAAACCCTCCTTTTTACGCAACGGTCCAGACATAGACATCAACGGCAAAAACATATTCAGTGTGCAGTTCCTTTGGCATTAGAGCAGGGATATTTAGATACTTTCCAAGGTTTGACATAATGAATTGTGCTACTTTTAAAGCAAGCAACGATGTTTTCAAATCTGTAATCAAAAAGGTCCCCAAAAACATTTAAGATTAACTTCGACCTCCGGGGGGGGGGGTCTTACGGAGGAGTGGATTGAGGAGTGCGAGTGCCTATCTCCAGAACAAAAAGCACCTAAACGACGACATGTAGAGCTACGTGAAGAGCAGGTAGACCAACTGGAAAAGTACACCATTCAAAAGCTTTCTGATGCGGGTCTTGAAACAAAGCAGAGAAATTATGACCGTTAGTGGCCACAGGTGAGAAAGCTCTCTCCAGAGCTACTGGAAGCCCAATCTCGGGGACCGGAGAAAGTGGAGCAATATTCTCGCCACACCAAGCAACAGCCTAGAACAACCTCAGCCTATACAAGTAACCACGTAAGCCATTCTACTGATGCTGGACAGTTTTTCAGTGGCTGCACAATAAACAGCAACATACACATTAATGTAAATAAATAGCCAAATAATGGATCAACGCTCTCTGTCTAATATGTTCGCTAGCTGTTGTTAGTGTTGTTGCATAGCAACCACCTCGCACTATGTTTCGTGCAGAAGGCAACAGAGGGACTATTTTATTTTGAACATCATTATTTACTAATAAAAACTATTTAAATTAGAGTGTGTATTTTTCTTTCATATTGCCACACTTGGTAACCGTTTTATAAAAGCAATAGCTCACTTCAGGCCGTGATATATGCTCATTATATCACAGCTAAGTGGGTTGTCGACCCTCCGCTTCGCGTCGGGCCGAACCACGCCCCTTAGCTGTGATATAATGAGCATATACCACGGCCTGTCGTGAGCTATTGCTTAATTCTACACTGTAGCTTTGTGCATATGACAATAAAACCTTTGAATCTTGAAAAACAAAAACAACAAACATGACAAATGCTAAAACGGAGGGGACTAATTTATCAATTTTTAGGTTTGTTTTTGCCCTTTTAATTCTTTATTAGTTATTTTCTCACATTCCCCTTTACATCCATTAGTACTCAAATGTAACAGTTTCTTTAACAAGGGGTCACAACATGTAGAAGGGCTCAAATCCAAGAAATTCAACATGAGAATAGAACAAAAACGTATAGAACGTAAATAACACAGGTATAACAAAAATTAAATAAAAGATGGGTTATATGTAAGGGATAATGTGCAGCGACGCGGTCATTATGGGGAAAAGAACACCGGCAGGCTGATCAGGAGCCCGACGCGAAGCGGAGGGATCTAGATCTGCATGAAGGTGTTCCCCATAATGACCGCGTCGCTGCACATTATCCCGCTTATTACATGGCCACATTCTCAACAAAGTAACGATATGACTCCCAATATTAATTGAAATGCTTTTATGGATTTAGAAAATGATTTTATTGATTTAAAAAATAGTTGTATGTATTGATTTAAATTTACATGCATCCGCTAAGAAAAATAGTCCGTTGTTACCGTTTGAACTAACGTAGCAACGGCAGGAAGGCGGAGCTTTTTGATTACAGATTTGAAAACAATCGTTGCTTGCTTTAAAAGTAGCACAATTCATTAGGTCAAACCTTGGAAAGTATCTAGATATCCCTGCCCTAATGCCAAAGGAGCTGGCAACTGAATATGTGTCGCCGTTTGATGTCTATGTCTGGACCGCTGCGTAAAAAGGAGGGTTTCTGCCCGTTACTTCTCCGCTGTTTTCTTGTCTTGTCAGTTAGAAAAGCAAACTGTATACAGTTAAATCGAACGGACTTGTTTGTGCAGATGTGAGCGTCCTTAACAACGGTCAATATGTCCTTGACAGCGGTCTGTCTGTTCTGGATTAACAACGTGTCACGTGTTCCGAATTGACCAATCAGAATCGAGTATTCAACTAAGCCATGTAATAAAAAATATATAAGGTCATCCTACATATTACAATAATACAGTCCAATATACTTATTTTGGGGTGTCCCACAGTCCAGTTCCCTTTTTAATGCAGCCTTTATAATCCTTCCATTATGAATCCCAGTTTCCTCCTATTACCTCCACCAATGGTGTCCATCTTTCTTTAAACATGTCCCTCTGTAATCGTAGCATATATGTAATTTTTTCCATTGTATAAATATTTCTTAGAATTGTCAGCTATTCAGCATCTTTTTTTTTAGCCATCTTATTGTAATCGTTTTCTTCGCCGCTGTTAGTATTTATTCTAGATTTGACATCTCCTCTCCTCCTATATGTGTGTGTTGACCAGGTGTTAGCCAACATGACCGCGGCCTACAAACAGGAGAAGAAGAAGAACGCCAAGCGCCGGACGCACAGATCGCCCTCCGTGACTTTCAAACTCTCCGAGCCTCAGTACGCCGCCGGAGACTCGCCATCGCCGAAGAAACTGAAGGACAGTTTGTATTTATCTTTCCCTGTGGAGCAGATCAGCTCAGAGGACATGAAGACGGAGACGTTAGCTTTTCACTTAGCGTAGCACGACAAAACACACACACACACACACACACACACACACACACACACACACACACACACACACACACACACACACACACACACGGACTATAAGATTCAACTTTAAACAAGAAACAACTCTTCCACTGAGAGGAGGTCCACAGGAGGGAATACTGGAATACCTTCCACTTCAAGCAGCTGCCCCACACACACACACACACACACACACACACACACACACACACACACACACACACACACACACACACACACACACGAGAAACAGAATCCATGGACCGAAAAGGAGAAACAGACATGGATGAGTTCCTCCTTTTATCCCGACAAAAACATTTCCCATGATGATGATGTTAACTTATTTTTGTCCGCTGTGTTCTACGATAGATTTCTAAGCCACAATACTTTTAAATAAAGCAGTTGTTTCATTGTGTAGACTGTTATTACCTGATGATCATCATGCTATAAGAGAGAAACTCCCTCAGGGATTTGGAAAACATCCCAAAAACACCTCCACTCAGAACCAGAATGGGATTAGATTTGGTTTACGTGGTGATACGGAGACACGGAAAGAAGAATACGCAGCAAAACAAATCAAATAAAAGTAGGACAGCTATTTTAAAAACTATAACAAATTAACAATATTTACATATGACCAATACTATATACTGTATTTGAAGCACAAAACCTCCTCACATACGATGCGATAATACTTGAAACGTTGAGATCAAGTCTCTTCCTGCTGAGAATAAAACTCACCTGTTCACCATGACCTTTTCAAGATTCAATTCTTTATCATCATGTGCTCAGCAGCTACAGTGTAGATATGCCAATGAAAAACTGAAGAAGTCCTCCAACAGAGCAACATGAATATATATATAGGACATACAACTAAGAAAATAGTGCAAGAGAATGTTTGGAGATGTGCAAGATGTGTTTCAATCTAATTTTCATTGAAATTTAGATTGAAAAATACTTAAAATAAATACAAAATATCTGAATAAAAAGGTAAGAGCTGAGGGATTTTAATTATTTATAAACATATTTCATTTTGTGAAGGACCGAATGTTTGTCATTTTAAAGAATGTATTATTAACAATAAATTAAATTAATAAATACTAAGATTTTAATGTATTTTTCTTTTAATTTGATAATTAAGAAGTTTGTTTATTTTTTAATGTGTTTAAATAAGATTATATTGAGCAGTTGAGAACATATCTGAAATGTTTGTACATTTAGATTTTTTTTAAATAACAATAGAAGTAATAATTGACTTTGTGAGCGAGAAACCTCTCCCTCAAAAATAAAGAGACCTTTTTTAGCACTTTTTGGTGTGTGTGTTTTTTCCCAGCGGCTCTTGAACGCTCACCAGGTGGGAGGAGCCACGTGACGTTCACTTTCGCAACAACTGACGTCAGAGAGGTAAAAGAGAAACAGGGGTATTACTCTGTCTCGTTTTCCGTGAATAAAAACAACTTCAGAGTTAATGTTTAAGACGTAGGAGTTTCAGAGAAAAATTTCAAATATATTTCTGGTTTTCAATCGACCATCAGGTACGAAAGCACAAGTGTGTGAAGTGTACTCTCGGTAATTTACGGAGGGTAGCTAAACCTTTTATCTTTTTTTAAGGTGGCTGAATTCATGTATAATGATAAAACAGATGCCAAGTTCAACTTTAAAATGCTGGGGGAAAAGTACTCAGATCTTGTACTTGAGTAAAAGTAGAAGTACCAGAGTGTAGGAATATTCTGTTACAGTAAAAGTCCTGCATTCAAGATGTTACTCAAGTAAAAGTAGAAAAGTATGATCATCAAAATATAGTTAAAGTAGCGACAGTAAAAGTAGTAATTTTAACGGAGTATTCCTACACTCTGGAACTTCTACTTTTACTCAAGTACAAGATCTGAATACTTCTACTCTTACTCAAGTACAAGATCTGAGTACTTCTGCTTTTACTCAAGTACAAGATCTAAGTACTTCTACCTTTACTCAAGTACCAGATCTGAGTACTTTTACTGAAGTACCAGACCTGAGTACTTCTATCACCTCTGATGAAGTACATCTTATCTTATCTTATTTCCTTCGGGATAAACAAAGTATTCTGACTTTGATTCAGAGTGTGAATTCTCTTTATTATAGACGACCTTTGATACCGGTGTTCCGGTCGGTTCTCTCTGTAAGCCTAATTTATCTCAGATATACAGAGAGATATCAATACATGCTGTTTTTAGGGTGTATTATATGTAAACTGCTCTTTATTTATTAAGTAGGAAGCCTGTGTCATTATGTAATGCTCTGTGTGGATTTTAAGGTATGTAATAACAGGAACGCGTGTGGAACTCACCTGCTGCCAGCTCTCCTACTCTGCTAGTGAATGTAGTATTTCTGTTATTAATGGACAATCATCTACAGAACTGTAATATGTACATGTAGCTCTTTATTGTGAGATTTATCTGGTATTCCCCCTGTAGCCACGAGCAGCTGAAGACCGGAAACACGTCCCCTTCAAAATAAACGTAAGTGACTTATTGATACAAAGTTATTCCTAAAACAGAGGAGGGAGAAGTACTCAGATCTTGTACTTGAGTAAAAGTAGAAGTACTCAGATCTTGTAGTAAAAGCAGAAGTACTCAGATCTTGTAGTAAAAGTAGAAGTACTCAGGTCTTGTACTTGAGTAAAAGTAGAAGTACCAGAGTGTAGGAATACTCTGTTACAGTAAAAGTACTGCATTCAAAATGTTCCTCAAGTAAAAATAGAAAAGTATTATCATCAGAATATAGTTAAAGTAGCGACAGTAAAAGTAGTCATTGTGCAGATTGGTCCATTTCAGAATAATATATAATTATTGATGCATTATATTCTGCTTATTTGGGTTTTTTCCTCTCCTGTAGCGTGTTCTATAGGTTGTACTGCATGTAAATCAGGGGTCTCAAACTCAAGGCCCGGGGGCCAAATCCGGCCCGCGACTTCATTTTATGTGGCCCCGCAAGAGCTTGCAAAGAATATAATACGTTTATTATACGGTCACGTGCCACTTTACAGAAGCAGGTTGTCCATAAACTACATGTCCCACAATGCATCTCGTTTTGTGACATGCGCACTGAAGAGACTTGCAATTATTTGCCATGGACTTCTGCTTTCAGACGTAGTTAATTACTAAGTTATTATACTATCCGATAATAATCCAATTCAGAGGCAATAATGTAATATAATACATAATTTTTTAGGCTATATTATATATTTATATAGTTACAACCGGCTCTTTGAGTGCAACCTTTATGCGAATGTGGCCCGCGATGAAATTGAGTTTGACGCCCCTGATGTAAATGGTCTGCAGAGGCTAAAATCAATAAATAGACAAATAAGAGTTATTAACCCTTAGAGTCCAATCCTAGCACTTGTAATAACTTCCTGTATTTTCTCCCCTGTTTGTCAGCAATGTCTACATATTTAAATGTAATAAAAAGTAGACTTTGCAATAAAAGAAACAGACAACTGTTTTTCAGGAAAAAAAACGTTAAAATTGAAACCCGTTGTGTCAAATCCTAATAGCAATAACTTCCTGTATGTTGGGAAAACACTGAATGTCCTCTTCCAATATGAGAGTAACAAAGGTATCCCAACTGTAGCTGTGAACATGACAGGATGTATGATTACCTAGAAGAGCATCAGGACTGTTTGAGGCATATGATAGCTATGTGATTAACATGATGATTCAGCCTCTATGGAGATAGACATATGACAAGCATGCTCATTTCTGACGTGGAGCTAATCTGAAGTAAACATTGAATACTGCTTTCTATTCCTCCATCTTGTGACTGTGTAACTCCCTCTCTTGGATATCAGCATGTGAAGGACACTGTTCAGGAACTAGTTGATGCTCTGTATGTGATGACTACTTCCATTCTGGTGATGATCATAAATACATGGATCCTGAGATTGAAGCTCAAGCCGGGGACCAGGGAGATTTTTCTAACACTTTATTTTCTCCCTGTGTGTCAGCATGGGCGTTAAAGTATCACTGATCCTCGCGGTGCTCTTCATCCTCCTGGACCTCATCCTCACCACCGTCCTCTTCACACAAGGCTCTCACTGGAGCGTCTTCAGGGAGGAGGCGCTGAACTTTGACCTCCTGAGTTCAGTGTTGGACCTGTGGGGGTGCGTGCTGCTCCGGGCCCCCCTGCTGCTGGGAGCCTGCATCGGGGTGTCCTGGAACAAACAAGATGGCCCCCCGAGGGTCTCCACACTCTCCACCCCCGTGCTGCTCCTCTGCCTCGTCATCATCACCTTCGCCCTGGCCAAGATGCTGATGCTGTCCGAGCAGGAGCCGCTAACCCAGGTAAACACAGAGAACATAGAAACTGCCGGATGCTAACTTAAAGGTCTCCTATCATGCAAAATGCACTTTTTGATGTCTTTTATACATAAATATGTGTCCCCGGTGTGTCAGGAGACTCTCAAAGTGTCAGAAAATAAAACCCTCTCTCTTTTCCTCCGTACCCACATCTCTAAAAACGGGGGAACAACGGAGCTGATCCAGATTTGCGTCCGATATGACGTAATATCTCAAATGTGGGCGGGCTTTACACCCACGGCCCTATCAGAAACGTTGCTATCAGAAACAATGAGACGTGTTCTGGAAGTACTATGGTCTGTGTTTACGTTAGCATCGCTAACACTCAGAGCTAACCTGTACTGGAGAGCATGTGTGTGAAGAAGCAGGAAATAAAAAGGAACTCACCTTGTGGTGTAACCGGCAAGAGAGAAAGAGTTTGAGCTCCATACTGTTTCAGAAATAATCCTTGATGTGGTTTGGAACATGATATGGAGTTTAATCACGGCAGCATTTAGCTGACTTTCTGCTGCTAGAATTCTGAGTAGGCATTAGCTCCCCCTCCTCTTTTTCTTTTTAAAGCTAAGGACCCAGAATCAGAGCTTCTCTAACGGGGCTGAAATAGAGGGATTTGAGGCGAGAATGACTGTTTGGTTCATAGACATGTTTTTTATACATTAGTATATATCTGAGACCTATAATTCCTAGAAATAATAATAATAATAGCTTGCATTTATATAGCGCCTTTCAAGGGACCCAAGGTCGCTTTACAAGTAATATAGCAAAAACAAACATAACAAAACAAAAGTCAGACAGACAGGCAAAACAACAGATCGATTAGGGGCCGAAAGCCTTGGCAAACAGATGGGACTTGAGGGCCCTTTTGAAGGCGTCGAGTGTGGGGATGTTGCGAATCTCCGCAGGGAGAGCGTTCCAGAGGGTGGGGGCTGCCACACTGAAGGCTCTGTCCCCGAAGGTTCGCAGTTTGGTGCAGGGGGGTGGTAAGCAGGCCAGAGTCTGAGGACCACAGGTTCCGGGGTGGGGCATGTGGGTGAAGGATGTCCGATAGGTACTGGGGGGCAAGGGCATGGAGGGACTTGCAGGTAAGGAGGAGTACTTTGTACGATATACGGGACTTGATCGGCAACCAGTGTAGGTGGATGAGGGTGGGAGTGATGTGTTGCCACGGCTTTGTGTGTGTGAGTACCCTAGCAGCACAGTTTTGGACATACTGGAGCCAGTCCAGGGTTTTTTTGGGAACCCCGAACAGGACACCATTGCAGTAGTCCAAGCGGGTGGTGACAAATGCATGCACGAGGGTTTCGGCAACCGACTCCGAGAGTGACGGTCGGAGTCTGGCAATGTTCCTCAGGTGGAAAAAGGCCGATTTGGTCACAGATTTGACGTGGGAATGGAAGGAAAGGGTGGAGTCAAGGATGACACCCAGGTTGCGGGCTTCAGGAGATGGGGAGATAGAGCAGCCGTCAACCTCGAGGATGAAGTCACCAACCTTCTGGAGCAGGGCCTTGGGTGCCACAACCATGAGCTCTGTTTTCCTGCTGTTTAGTTTGAGGTAGTTGGAAGACATCCATGTTTTGATGTCATGCAGGCAGTTGATGAGAGACTGAGGGGGGAGCTGGGAGGATGGAGTGGTGCTGAGATACAGTTGGGTATCATCAGCGTAACAGTGGAAATTGAGTCCATGATGTCGGATGATCTGGCCGAGGGGGAGCATGTAAATGGTGAACAGGAGGGGGCCAAGCACAGAGCCCTGGGGTACGCCGTAGTGGACTGGGGCCGGGGGTGAGTTTGAGCCACTGATGGAAACAAACTGTTTCCTGTTATGGAGGTAGGATGTGAACCAGGACAGCGCTGTGCCAGTGACACCTGGTATAGTATAATAGGAGACCTTTATATATGTTGGACAATAAGCATACGTTGCATTAATTAGCATTAGTTAACATATGCCGATTTGTACAATTCTGATGTTGTTTTTGGAGGTTCTTGATGATGTTGAATCAATTTCCGACATTTTTAGGATCCAAAATGTCAGTTTTGAGTCCCCTAACATTTTTAAATTCATCAAATCAGCCCACTGGGAGTACAACTATGTCCACCAGCTTCCCTCTGTCATACTGATACTACATCTTATTTTATTTATTCTTTCTTATTATCACTGTGTATATTCTCATGTGTAATACCTGTGTTTCTGTCTTGTTCTGAATGTCCCTACGGGGATCAATGAAAGTCAATTTTATCTTATTTGATCTCATCTCATCTCCTCTCCTCTCCTCTCCTCTCCTCTCCTCTCCTCTCCTCTCCTCTCCTCTCATCTCATCTCATCTCATCTCATCTTATCTTTCTAGCAGCCCTGGTTTCTGAGCCTCATCTGCTGGACCTGCATCTCCTCTCTGCTCGTGGCGCTGATCTGGAATCAGATCGGGAAGAAGGAGGCGGGGAAGAGTCCAGACAGAAGCAGCAGAAGAGGAAGAGGATGTGAGGCAAGTTTACAATCACTTCTGGTTAGACGAAAACTGCATTTCATTGTCTTAGTACTTCAAAAGATTCAAGATTCAAGCCTTTTATTGTCATTCATACATAGCTACAGTTTAGTTATGTCGATGAAAATCTGAAGTCACAGGCTCCTCCAACAGTGCAGCACAAAACAGATAAAATAGTGCAAGTAAATACAATAAAATAGAATAGAAGTAGTGCCTTAAGAGTCTACACACAAGTGATACATAATTTGTAAGTTGCAAACAAATTAATGTTCTGGATGTTGTTAGTTCAGGTGTTTAACAGTCTTATGGCCTGTGGAATGAAATTGTAAAACTTGTACTCTGTTCAATGACAATAAAGTTGAATCTTATCTAATCTAATATAGAATAGCACAGGTATAAAACATATGATCAAAAGCTACAGTGCAGTGTAAGATATGAATAGTTCAATTAAAAGCAGCGGCAAAAAGACAAGGATTTATAGCGCTGAAGATAACTGTAACAATCTCTCAGAAGAGGTAACAAGAACCAAAATGTCCATGTTAATCCCTCTGGGGCCATTTTACTTAAAAAAGCCACTTTTCTAAATTGCGACCATTTCCAAGTTGGCTGCCATTTCCAGCCGAGGAAGCAGTATTTTCCCACAGAATTGTAACCAATGGACATATTTCAGGGGTTTTGGAATTTAATTATAGGCTTCATTTATGCTGGGGACGCTGAGGACATGTCCCCACCACTTTGCATTAGGATAAGTTGTTAAAGATGTTCTGAAATAGCGTCCATAAAGAATTGTACAATTTAAGAAAGGTTTATTTGCACAAGAGAACATGGACAAGACTATTCACACTCTTTGGATGTATTTCTGGTGACCCAAGAGGTGCAGTTTGGACCTGCGACACGTTTAATATTAGTTATAATTTAATAGAGAATAGCTTTGCTGCAGCGTAGCATAGTTACTGCACCAGTTGTTAAAAAAGGATAGTAAGAATATGTATGTACATTATTTGTATTGTTTGCGGGGGGCGCTTAATGCAGTATTGTTTTTTTAAATCTGCAAAAAGTGTCCCCACCACTTTTACTAACAAAGTGACGCTCATGCATTGAATTATGTGTTTATGACTGTGAGGAAGTCACATTTACTGTTTTAGAAACCTCTTTTGAGCTTTTTTGTGTCATTTTAAACACAGAATGTAAGAATGTGGGGCTTAGAAGAAAGCATTTGGGACTCTAAACCACATTAATACTAATGCTAGTCTTCTATGTTAGCAGAATTAGTTAGCAGAGATTAAACACCATGATGTCAGCAGTACTGCCTCTACTACTGCACTCCTACACCCCAACATACCTCCAACACCTCCACCACCGTGCATATTAGGCTACCCAGTTGTCCATTGGCAGGTGTTGTTTATAGTATGGCAAAGACATGTTAAAAATAAGCTTCTGAGACCTGAAGTTGGTTTCCACTTGGTCAAAAGTGTATGATTTGACACCAAGATAATTTATAAAGGGCGAGTGAAAGTGATTTTATGGTAAAAAATGACATTTCCATTTAAAGAAATGTTGTTTTTTTTAGTGGCTAACAGGCTTTTTGAAAAGAGTAACCTCAAAAGAGTTTGAGTGCCAATGTTAGTACTTTTCCCTGGTGTTTTCAATTATCTGCAGCACTATTAAAAGTAGTAGTTGCAGCGGACCTGATCCAGTTATGTGGAGCATAATATATATATATATATATATATATATATATATATATGTTTATATTTAGAATCAGTAATATTTATTTTTATCAATTTGACACTGCTTAAGTTTGTATAGTATAATAATTCTCATGTTTCATTTCATTATTATTATTATTTATTTTTTTGTATTATTGTTTTACACATTCGAATCAAATCAAATCAAATAATAACTGAACGCTGCTTCTCCAGGACACTGAGAAGCTGGTGGGAAGAGCAGAGGAAGAGGAGGAGGAAGAGGATGTGGAGAGTGAGAGGAAGAAGGAGGAAGAGGAGGAGGAGATGAAGAGTGGATCTGGGGCGACACTGGGACGTCTGCTGTCTTACTGCAGGAAGGACGGAGGGCTGCTGTCCGTCGCCGTCCTCTTCCTCCTCGTCTCCGCTGTGTGTGAGTCTGCTTCTCATACAAAACCTTAAAGATGGGAAATATGGGGAAAATCCAATATCACAATATTCATTCACCAAATACCTCGATATTGGATGATATTATTTTACTAAATGTTTAATTTTGGCTTGAACACATCAAAGTGTAACTCAATAGAAGCTCCATTAGCTGTTAGCCGTTAGCTGTTATTTAGCTGTCAGGACTGTGCTGTAGACTGTGGGTGTTTCTCAATCTCGAGTAAAGCTGCTCCAGAGCCACTATTTCAAGCATACTACGTCATCGAGTGCCGCCGAAGTACTGTTCCAATCTCCAGCATACTTGGAAATCTACCGAGCCCGGCGTACTCCGTTTGGAGAAATATCGAGGCTGCACATGAGTAGACTCCGCGGTCTTAAAATCCCCACAATGCTTTGCGCATGGACCAATTTCCCCAAATCTGTGGCGGAAGATGTAAGGCGGGGCCTCTCATATGACGCACACCTGCACACTTGCTAGCGTGTTCCACACTTCGTTTTCCGAATGCCAGGAAGTATTCTTGACTCGCTTCTGAAGCAAGATGCTCGGCAGACATGTGCTACCAAGCAAGCGTACTCGCGATTGAGAAACACCCCGTGTGCTAATACCTAACAGCTAGAAGCTAATGCTAACTAGCTCTCCTGCTAATTTGAACCCTGATTTGTTGAAATCTCAATATCAGACCCCAGAGCTGGGATATGAAGAGAAATATCCAACACAGTCTCACGGCATTTCGTGTTATAGTCACGAAATGAATCTATTGATTCGTGTTCACCAACACGATTTTCCCATTTTTTTCGTGTCACACAGAACGATTTTAAAAGCAATGTAAATAATAACAAATTAGAAGGAAAAACAGATTTAAAAAAATACAGATTTCAGTATTCTGACACAGAACGATTTTAGAAGCGATGTATTTATATTGGTAGTATGTTTCGTGCCTGCACCAAATAATAACAAATTAGAAGGAAAAAAAGATGACAAAAATACAGATGTCAGTATTCTGAGGCTCTGAGCCATTTCTTTTCCTCACTGACGGCAAAAACACTCAGACATTATACAATTTAAAATAAAAGGGATAGGGTTAGGCTTAGGGTAAGATATTGAGTAAGAAAATGTGTTTATGAACCACACAGCTTCTGGTCTTCCAAGACCCGACCGGACAAAAAGACGTGTTGCAGGCACGAAACATACTACCAATAGAAATACATTGCTTTTAAAATCGTTCTGTGTGACACGAAAAAAAGGCGAAAATCGTGTTGGTGAACACGAATCAATAGATTAAATTAATTTCGTGACTAATAACATGAAATGGCGTGAGACTGGGTTGAAATATCACAATATATATTTTTTTTTAACCAAATACCTTGATGTCGAGACGATTTTGTAGGATTTAAAGATATTTATACAATAACATTTTGATAGATTATCTTCAGTCATGTGCGTTTAATGACCCTTTTGTCACCAAAAACTAAATTTTACAAGATTACCGTGAACACATCTTGATAAAGTTAGAATTTACCTTGAACTCATCAAAGTGTCACTCAATGTTAACGCTGTTAGCTATTATTAAACCTTAAGGACTGTGTGCTAACTTAAAGCAAATGACTAACAGCTAATGCTAACTAGCGCTGTTGTCAACCCTGATTTGTTAGTTTTGCTGAAAATGGCTTGAACGCATCAAAGTGTCACTCAATCTTAACGCTGTTAGCTGTTAGCTATTATTAAACCTTAAGGACTGTGTGCTAACTTAAAGCAAATGACTAACAGCTAATGCTAACTAGCGCTGTTTTCAAACCTGATTTGTTAGTTTTGCTGAGTATGGCTTGAACACATCAGCATGTAATCGAATGCAACCTCCGTTAGCTGTTAGCTATTAGCTGTTATTTAACCGTCAGCACTCTGCTGCACACTGTCTGCTAATACACAACAGCTAATGCTAACTAGCTCTCCTGCAGATTTCAACCCTGATTTGTTGAAATATGAACAGAAATATCACAATATTTTTTCCAAATACCTCAATATTACATGTTTTACATTTTCACCCAATGAGATTTTGATGAATATTGTAGCTAACAGCTAAGGGAGGTTGCATTAAACTAGACGCGTTCAAAGCACACTCTGCAAAATGTAATATTGGGGAAGGGCAAATTCTAAAGTTATCAAGATGTGGTCAATGTTATCTTGTGAAATGTAGTTTTTGATGAGAAAGGGTCATATAATGTTTCAGCGCGGCAGTGCTCAGGGTTTAATATGTCTCTAGAAGCGGTTAAAAAGTATTGCAACTGGGTTTAATTACTGGGTTTATGATTGTGTTACTCATCAGAGATTACACAACACTCAATGACTAACTCAATGTCGAAATGTATGTATTGGTGGACTCAAGGGCTGTCCTCAAGTAAAGAAACACTTACTCGAATAACACTCATTTGAGTTTGTCAACTGATGAATAACTTTATTTCATCCATCCATTATGCCAGTACTTTCTCATTTATGGGGGGATTAAAAGACATTTCCAAAACCCCTTCTGTAAAAGCCTTTGACTATAATATGAGAACTTTCTCCTATGTTCACATTTATGTTCACTATATTTGAAAGAGTCGCTCCCCCGCTCATTTTCAGGTTCTTATCAGTATATAATGTCTCTACTGGGACATGTCTCCATGCGTGTGGGAGAGAAACTCCCTCTGTAGGATCACAGGGATTTTAGCCTCTGCAGACCGTTGACATGCACTAAAACCTATAGAACAAACTACAGGAAAGGGAAAACTCCAATAAGCATTATGGGGTTTTAAAAGACAATTAAAAAAGTTATTGTTATACAAAGAAATCTTATTTAACCAAGACCAAAACGTCAGATTAGTCGATTAATTCACTAAAAGGAGGAAAAACGATTTGCACAGACATAATAAAAGAAACAGACAGAGAGATCAGGACAGAGCAAAGTGGATTTATTGTTGAAGATATATTGCATATAAGTCATTTAATACATAATTTACATGATATTCACATGATGTTCACATGATGTTCACATGATATTCATATGATATTCACATGATATTTACATGCTGTTCACATGATGTTCACATGATGTTCACATGATATATTCACATGATATTCACATGTTCACATGATGTTCACATGATATACACATGATGTTCACATGATATATTCACATGATATACACATGATATTCACATGATATACACATGATATTCACATGATATACACATGATATATTCACATGATATACACATGATATTCTGATGTTCACATGATGTTCACATGATATACACATGATGTTCACATGATATATTCACATGATATACACATGATATACACATGATATATTCACATGATATACACATGATATTCTGATGTTCACATGATGTTCACATGATATACACATGATATTCACATGATATACACATGATATTCACATGATATTCAAATGATATATTCACATGATATACACATGATATTCTGATGTTCACATGATATACACATGATATTCCCATGATGTTCACATGATATACACATGATGTTCACATGATATACACATGATATTCACATGATGTTCACATGATATTCACATGATGTTCACATGATATACAAATGATATATTCACATGATATTCAATTGATATATTCACATGATGTTCACATGATATTCACATGATATACACATGATGTTCACATGATATACACATGATATTCACATGATGTTCACATGATATACACATGATATTCACATGATATACACATGATGTTCACATGATATACACATGATGTTCACATGATATACACATGATATTCACATGATATTCACATGATGTTCACATGATATACACATGATATTCACATGATATACACATGATGTTCACATGATATACACATGATGTTCACATGATATACACATGATATACACATGATATACACATGATATTTACATGATATATACATGATATATTCACATGATATTCACATGATATATTCACATGATATTCACATGATATTCACATGATGTTCACATGATGTTCACATGATATATTCACATGATATTCACATGATATTCACATTATATTTACATGATATTTACATGAAACTAACATGATATTTATTTGTCCTTTTGTCCTGCAGGTGAGGCCTTCATCCCGTACTACTACGGGAAAGCGATCGACAGCATCGTGGTGCACCAGAGCATGGAGTACTTCGTTAAACCTGTGATCATTCTGTCAGTGCTCGCTTTAGTCAGGTGAGCATTTACACATTTAGACGAGTTACACATTATCTTCCAAGTGGAGCATTTTCAAGATAAATCTTCCTGAATTGTAGGTGATACGATTCATTTTTAAAGGAACTCATTCAAAATGATTGCACAAGTCACCCAAAGACAACATAAACACAACTCACGATCGGCGAAAAGCCAAATTAAATCGATGCTCCCTGATAAACTCAAACGCATAAATATATCAGCAGGCTGACCAAACATTAAAGGAACAGTTTGACATATTTCTGGGGAAATCCTCCAGTTCTGTCTTTAATGGTTAACCTGGCTAACAACCATCTGAGAAGCCTTCACTGGAAACTGTCTGGGAGAAAGGAACAGAAACTTAGCAGGAAGGTGTGCATAATAAACCATATCAATCGTTGTCGTCGTCGTCTTCATCATCATCATCATCGTCGTCGTCATCATCATCATCATCATCGTCATCATCTATATCTGTTGTTCTACAGTCACAGAGACCTTCATTGGAAACACCTTAAGTGGGGGTACATCCCAAGTGCCAATGAATGGAAACATCCTCTCAGAGAAAGTGTGTGTGAAGGTGTGTATGTGTGTGTTAGTGTCAGGATCAGAGAACGACAGCTTTCCTCTGTCCCAGTCCAGATTCACTCTGACCCTCTGGAGCTCCTTCTGCAGGCTGAGAGGAGTTTCTGGACGTGGTAGTGACTGTGCTGAGTATTTACCTCCATTAGACAGTATTCTCCATAATCCAGACCCTATGTCTCCCTTCCTCTGGACAGACTCTGCTAACACACCCAGTACCCAGCCTGTATTGTCTCCAACCTGGACATCCCAGCTGTGAGTCCCTGAGTTAAAGCCCTCAGAGCCCAGGACAGACCAGTAATCATCAAGCCTCTCTGGATTATCAGGACGTTTCTGTCTCTCTCCTCGTCTCACTCCGGTCAGATCTTCAGACAGGATGAGGTCTGGATAAGCAGTGTTTGGGTCCAGGATGAGAGGAGAGTAGGACACCAAGTCCTTCATCTTGCTCCAGATGTTGAAGCTGAGGTTGCCCAGGTGTTTGGCCTGGTCTATCAGAGCTCCTGAGGGCAGCTGTGGATCCTCCAGCAGGGGGCGCTGCAGACTCTCCACTGCAGCCTTGTAGTTGAGCAGGAAGGAGACGTCTTCAGCTCTCAGCTCCTCCTCTGTGGCTCTGACTGTGTGTGAAAGAGCTGCTATCTCTCTGCTCACAGCCTCCATCTTCTCCTCCATCATCTTCCTCTTCAGCTCCTCTTCCTCCCTCAGTGCAGCCATCCTGGCCTCCTCTTCCTCTTCTAGAAACTGGTGAAGCTTCTTAAACTGCTCCTTAATCTGCGTCGCTGTGCGTCGAGCCTGGACCTTCAGGTGTTCTGCTGTTTGATCAAACTTCACTTTAACTTCTTCAAAAGTCTCTAACTTCTTCTTGAAGGGCTGCAGAGTTTCCTGAAGCTCCTCTTTGAGATCCTGAGCAGCTTCATCGATGGGTCTGAATCTGTGTTTGTTGTGTATTTTTGAATCTCTGCAGATGAGACACACTGGCTGCTGATGGTCCAGACAGAAGAGTCTGAGTTTCTCAGAGTGCAGACTGCAGAGAGCCTCTGGAGATCTCTGATCTCTCTCTTGTAGGAAACTCTCACACAGGTTCTTTAACACCAGGTTACAGGGAGGTTCATAAACTGAAGATCTCTTACAAAGTGGACACTCTTTGATGACTTTCTCCGTCCAACAGTTCTGCAGACAGTCTCTACAGAAGCTGTGGCTGCATGACAGGACCACAGGATCTTTAAAGATGTCATGGCAGACAGTACAGCAGAGATCTTCCTCTAATCTGGAAGCCATGTTGTCTGTGAGTGAAGCAGTAAACTCAGCAGTAGCCGCTCCCTGTTCCCTGAGACTTACTTTCACTTTGAGTCTTTGTTCTGGTCAAACTCTCAGTGTGTGGATTCAGCAGCTGCTTGAAGTGGAAGGTATTCCAGTATTCCCTCCTGTTGACGTCCTCTCAGTGGAAGAGGTGTGTTTGGTGTGAAGTTGAATATTGTATTCTGTCTCTCAGCGTGTGTGTGTGTGTGTGTGTGTGTGTGTGTGTGTCATCTCAGTGAGGCAGAATAACAGCCTGTTTCCTGGTTGGTCTCGTGAGTCAGGCGATAGGAGGAGCTTTATCATGACAGTTCATCCGGAGTTTCATTCCAAACCGCATGAGTCATCTGTGTTTCCTCATTTCATCCTGTACACTGCTTCTGTCTCTGTTTTCTTTATGTAATGGTTCTTCAACACGGAGTCTGTGACAAATAATGTTTGAAATGTTTTTTAAATATGTCTGAAAATACACTTTACAGCAGGGGTCGGCAACCCCTGGCACGCGTGCCACCGTAACCAGTGGCACACTAGGAATAAGTGTGCAAAATATTTAAATTGTATTTTCGGATCCTGAATGAGACCGCTGCCAGATCGCGTCTCCCCGTTACCTGCAGAAGGAAGCCATGCAGAGCCCCGCTCTGTTTAACTCCAGGTGACTTTCTGCCGCTTTCCTCCGTGGTGCAGGGCTGATCGTTTCACCACGGAGGAAAGCACAAATTGCAGTACCCATAAGGAGCTGTACAAATACCACAGTTTTTGCGTGGCTGTGTCTTTAGTTGAAAGCCCAGTGGCGATCTGCTCATCTCTCATTGAAATAATATGCTACAAAGGGGCGGACTGGCCATCTGTGTGTTGAACTTTCCTGTCGGCTCCCAGACCGTAGTCGAGGAGGGCAGAAGCAACAAGCTTCAGGTTCAATAACCCACTTTAGCTTAAATGACTGGAGAGAGGCGAGCTCTTCTTGGGAAGCCGTTGCATTTATTTAGCTGTTCTTCTGTTTCACAAAATACATCACAGACCTCTGTTTTTCTGCTGCCTCGTTTCTCTTCCAGAAACATACACACGCTCCCTCACTCTCGCTCTACCATCCACACACACACACACGCACACGCCACACCCCTCTCTCTCTCTCTTAAAGGGACAGCGATCTCATCTCACTCTGCATGACCCATGTGTTCTGGAGAATCACAGAACGGACGATCGTCCTTATTATTATGCCGTTTAAACCAATTATTTAAATGTATTTGTTAAATTCGGAATTATGTAAGTTGTGCTGACAGGTCCACACACTGCTTCCCCGCAGCGAGGCTCCCCCCGCCCTCCTGTTGATAGTTCACCAGCGTCAACCAGCGTCCTCAACCCCCCCCCCCCCACCCCCCCGTTGACCATTCTCGATCGTTGGCACGCTGATAACAATTCATTTTTTTAATGGCACTTCATATCAAAAAGGTTGCCGACCCCTGCTTTACAGTATCTGAAATCCAACATAATACAAACAAAGATAAATCTGCATTTTTTTACTAAATAAAAATGATCCAACCTGCTACCCCGTGCTTGTCAGACAGAACTCCAGCTATATTTCTCCCAGTCAGTTTTATTCCTGCAATGTAAATGTCATCTTTGTTGTCAAAACTATCACTGTTACTAGATAAATATTATTTTCTCTTCTTTTTCCTTCCTGTTTTTGTCCCGCTGCTCCTTTCATACTCGTCTACCTCCATCTTCCTTCCGGTCTCTCGTTCTGCCCCTGTAGTCAGCTCTATAGGTTTCTTTGTGTGAGTGGTCTGCAAAGGAGGGAACACGGCCAACTTTAGCCGCCTTTAGCTTAGCGGTGGTGACTTGAAGTCATGTGAACGTGCTGTAGTTCCTTTATAGCCCAACATTAGCCACCTTTAGCTTAGCGGTGGTGACTTGAAGTCATGTGAACGTGCTGTAGTTCCTTTATAGCCCAACATTAGCCACCTTTAGCTTAGCAGTGGTGACGTGAAGTCATGTGACCGTGCTGTAGTTCCTTTATAGCCCAACATTAGCCACCTTTAGCTTAGCGGTGGTGACGTGAAGTCATGTGACCGTGCTGTAGTTCCTTTATAGCCCAACATTAGCCACCTTTAGCTTAGCGGTGGTGACGTGAAGTCATGTGACCGTGCTGTAGTTCCTTTATAGCCCAACATTAGCTTTTTACTTACTTAAATTCAGGGACCTCTGCAGAAATACGACATCCCTCCACCACTCCTTCCTTTAAATGCTTTATAACTTCTCTATTCTCTCCCCAGTTCTCTTGCAATGGGAGTACGTGGAGGAGTCTTCACGCTGATATTTGGCAAATTAAACCTTCGTCTCAGGAACCATCTCTTCAGGACGCTGATGAGGCAGGAAATCGCCTTTTTTGATGAAAACCATACAGGTATTAAAGGAACATCCCTTAATTCTTATTATTAGATTCTACCCCTCTAGTACTGGTGATAACTCACTTCAGTAAACTTAGTAATACCATAGTGTCGAAATATTCTGATACGAGTAAAACTCTTACATTCAAAATGTTTCTAAAGCTAAAGTTTTAAGTATTAGCATAAAAAATATACTTTAAATACAAAATGGACTTATTAAAATGACTTTATAGCTTAATATAAAGTGCTCCCAAATGTAGTGGAGTAGAAGTACTTCAACAATTCCAGTACTTTAGTAAATATACGTCGCTCCCTCAAAAATATATATACCGTTATTTATTCTAAAATGTAAAATGTATTCCTGCTAATTATCCCCCTTTTGGAAAAGATGTTTTACTAATCCAATTACGTATTTCTTCCTGTCGATGTAATGGAATAACATCAATAAACATTTTTATTTCCTGCCTGTATCTGTAGGGGACATTATTTCCCGTCTGTCGGCAGACACCACACAAGTGAGCGACCTGATCTCCAACAATATTAACGTGTTCTTGCGGAGCATCGTTAAGGGCGTCGGCTTCTTCATCTTCATGTTCGGGATGTCCTGGAAGCTCACATTGGTCACCATCATGGGATTCCCCTTCATCGCTGTCGTCTCCAAACTCTATGGAGATTACTACAAGGTAAAGTACATTTCTGAACTGAATGTGTTGATTATTTTAATTGTAGTAACAAGCAATATCTCTACATTAATGCGTAGATGGTGTCAGGCTTACGCCGACTTCTGGGTGGGCGGGGATAATGAAAGCCAATTTGATAAATGTCCGCAATAACAAGTGCAAAGTTCGTACCAAATTTCGTAAACATTGGAGCAACAATATGCAACTATGGACTTACCACTCGCTAGGGGGGCGCCATAGAGCATGCTAACCCTAACGAGCCATTTTACTGCATTATTTTCAATTTTGTGCCAATTCTGACGTCTAAAATATGATAGTTAGTTACGACTTAATCTCTACATCAATGCATAGATGTCGTCAGGCCTACGTCCTCTGAAAGCGTGTCATGTTTTGAGCATATGGGACGATGTTCAGATGATCAGTCGTTAAAAAATTGGAGTTTGCTAAAGATACAGGAAAAATGCAGACTTTTCAAAATGGCCGACTTCTGGGTGGGCGGGGATAATTAAAGCCAATTTGAAAAATGCAATAACAAGTGCAAAGTGCGTACCAAATGTCGTAAACATTGGAGCAACAATATGCAACTATGGACTTACCACTCAATAGGGGGCGCCAGAGAGCATGTTCACCCTTAGTTACGACTTAATCTCTACATCAGTTCGTGGATATCGTCAGCAGATGGGACGATGTTCAGATGACTCGTGTAAATCCTGGTACAATGGGAGTTCGTAAAAGTTTGCTAAAGATAAAGGAAAAACCTGAATTATGCAAAATAGCAGACTTCTGGGTGGGCGTGGACAATGAAGACCAATTTGAAATATGTCCGCAATAACAAGTGCAAAGTGCGTACCAAATGTCGTAAACATTGGAGCAACTATATGCGACTATGGACCTACCACTCAATAGGGGGCGCCAGACAGCATGCTAACCCTTACAGGCCATTTCACTGCATTATTTTATAATTTTGTGCCATTCCTAATGTCCAAAATATGAAAGGTTAGTTAAGACTTAATCTCTACATCCATGTGTTGAACGTGTCAGGCCTAGTCTCTCCTCAAGCACGTTATTAAATAATAATAATCTGCACAAAATCAATAGTTTCCTTGCCCTCATATGATGTGACCATAATCAAAGGGTTTATATTTAGTTTTCTTTAGATTTATCCATTGTTCATTCTCTGTTATGGAAATGTATGCAAATTAGCACTTTATTTTGTAATCCTTCATCTATTTTATCTTCAGAAATTGACCAAAGAGGTGCAAACAACCCTTGCAGAGGCGAATAAAGTTGCAGAGGAAACTATTTCGTCGATGAGGACGGTTCGCAGCTTCGCTAACGAGGAGGGGGAGGCCGACACGTACCTTAGCAAACTCCTGGTCATGTTCCAGCTCAACAAAAAACAAGCGCTGGCCTACGCTGGGTACATGTGGTCGAGCTGTGTACGTATCAGAACATGTAAAAAGCTACATCTGTCTTTTTAAATGTTGTTTTCTTATCTGTTATCCGTGTCTTTCAGATCTCGGAGCTTGCTTTAGAGATAGCCGTCCTCTACTATGGCGGCCATCTTGTCGTCAGCGGGCAGATGAGCAGCAGTTCTTTAATATCGTTTTTTATATACATGCTGGAACTGGGCGAATGTCTCGAGGTATTTCATCAGTTTTACTTCTTTATTTAGTTTTGCCTGAGTGAAGATACTTGGCAGTTCATCAATAATAGGAATATTTTATTTATCCTTTGGGTCATTTTATGAAAGTTGCTCAATTTTCTCCATTAAATAAAAAGAATAAAGAATACAATATATATTTAAACATAAAGTTAGAATGTGTAATAAAGAATACAATTAAATAAATATATTAGTACATTTACATTTTAGTTATTTTTTATCTTTTAACTTTTTAACTTTTTAATGCTATTTTATTTCTATTTCTGAAATATTCTGGACTGTTTATTTCTCTTATGTACATTGCCTTGTGTTTTTCTATCTATCTATCTATCTATCTCTCTCTCTCTCTCTCTCTCTCTCTCTCTCTCTCTCTCTCTCTCTCTCTCTCTCCTCTCTCTCTCCTCTCTCTCTCTCTCTCTCTCCTCATCTCTCATCTCTACCTCTCTCTCTCTCTCTCTCTCTCTCTCTCTCTCCTGCAGAGCATTGCCTCGGTGTACACGGGGCTCATGCAGGGAGTCGGAGCGGCAGAGAAAGTGTTTGAGTATCTGGACCGGGAACCCAAACACCGGGCTGACGGCACCGAGGCTCCGGACACATGCTCGGGTCTGGTGGAGTTCAAAGACATCACGTTTGCATACCCGACACGCCCCGATACCGATATTCTCAAGGTTCGTTCTCAGGGATCTTTCTGCCAACACACAGATTTGTATCCTGCATACACACCCACAAAAACACATCAAATCGTGAGGAATGATCGTGGATGGTGTGCTGTGACTTTTCCAAGAGATTCGCTTAGCTGTTTTCACGCAAATCACAAAAAACTGCAAACTTTTCCCCCCATAACAATGAATGGGAATCAACGTGACCAGGGGCCTCATTTATAAACGGTGCGTACGCACAACACATGGCATACACCAGTTTCTACGCACTGTTTGTGATTTATAAAAAATTAACTTGACGGGAAACTGTGCGGTCCTCCACGCAAACTCTGACCCATGCGTACGCACTAAGTACAAAAACGGGAGAGACGAGAAACTGCGACACCGTTGGCAGAAGGAAGAATGGAGAGAAATATGTGGAAATAATACCATAAATAAAATGTTACCTCTCATTTATCAAATATGAAGAATTCATTTTCAAACATTGATTAAAGCCAATCTTAAAATGATGAAACAAACGCCTGTTTGAGACTCCTCAGTGCACACAAAAACATAACTTGGAGAAATAAATAAATACGGAAATGTTATTGATCACCCCTCGATTATGTTCTCTTGTTAAGAAATGTTTTCTCATAAATGATGCGGTAAGCAGGAGGATAGAATAACGTCTAAACTGACGCCGTTTTGCATTTCTATAGGTTGTAGATACGAGCATGGTTTTATATACTATCATGTTTAATCGTGTTTTATGCCGTTTGCCAAGACTTGATAAGTAGCTCGTAAAACACAGGAGGTATGGAAACTAAGAACACCATATGTGGTAAATTGTACAGCTAATATAACACAACACATTAGTTGTATTTCCTTTAACTGGTGGATTATGGATCTATAGTTGCTGATCGACAGCTGGAACACAAACCACCAAATACAACAAAATAATTCAGATCCAGTCGTCATGACTACACTCCGGAGGGATTCCCCGATCATTTCTTACAGTTTCTCATCAAGGGGGGGGTCTCCTGTCCCCGGGACAAACACACTGCCTAAGGAAGGTTATGTGTATTTTTTTTGTCATTAACTTTTTTCGGACCACTTATTTATTTATTTTGGTGACGATCCGACCTCCATGCTGCTACTCTGGTTCAAACTGCATCCACCAAACAATATGATTTATCTCGACCTCCCCACAATAACCAAAATCTGACACGGTGTGAGATGTCTTTTTTAGCTGTTCTGTCGTCATTTCCTGCGATCTTCTTCATGCAGTCAGTCAGAATGAATGAATGAATGAATGAATGAGCGTCTCTTTGACTATTTATAGGCAAATATGGGCGTTACGTGAAGCCTGCAAAAGCTGCGCGGCATTTCGAGTTGATTGTGATTTGTGACTTGCGTAGGATGTGCCGTACGCAAGTCCTGTGCCGGTACGCAGTCTTTTATGAATCGGAAAGTGTCGGTGCGTATTTATTTGCTTTGTCCTACGTAAGCAACCTTCCCACGCCAATCCTACGCAAGGCTTTATAAATGAGGCCCCTGAGCTCAGAATCATCCTACTTTGAGGTCACACTGATTCGCCATACTTTAACGTAGAAAAAAGATCTAAAGTTTAAACGGCTCTCCAGACTCTTAACTTTATTGGACTAAAAGTTTTTTTTATATAGACGGAACGGTTTTCCTAAAATCACAGTTTAAGTTTTGGTATATTTGTATGGTTTTTCAGATTTCATAATGGGTGTGTGTGTGACGGAATGTTCAGAGTGGATGACATCATCACTCAGAGCAGTGGTCACCAACCAGTGGATCGATCGAGTGCGGTGCGGGTAGATCGTAACAAAAGAAAGAAATGTAAAAAAAAAGAAATGTTTAGATGTAAGCCTATCATCCACCACCCCGTTAGCAGGTGCCACTTGATTGACGTGTCTTTGAGACATTCCCTGTCGCTCCCGAAAATAATAGACTGACTTCAAGTGATGCTGCATATTTCTGAACTCACTGCACTTATGGTAGATACCAACGACAACAAAATGAACATATTTTACCGTGATGTAATTGTAATACACGTTTCAAAATGATGCCGGAATAACTACATACTGATACCGGTTAGTAAAAAAACATGAATTAATGCTTTGACAAGCCTGCAGGCGAAAAACCTTTTATATGCGTGTTGTCTGAATGGAGATCGGATCGATCAGGCTAAACTAACGTTGTATCTGCTGCGTCCACACTCATAACAACGTGATACAGACACAGCAACTGTTGTATCATTATTGTAAATAACTAGTTTTAATGTTAAATGTTGCACTTGCATGAATCTTCAGTGGATAAGCCTCACAGTTAAAATGGCTCTTTATGTTATCTGCTCACTGCATTGTTTTTTTCTTTGTTGTTGTTGCTGTCAACAAAATAATGTACTCAAACAAATGGAAAATAAGCTACATACATTTATATTTAGGATTGTAATGAAGGCATTAATGAAACTTAAAATGATAGGTATGATGTAAATATATTTATCCTTTTTGACATGTTAGTTATGTTGTGTTCTTGGTTCAATCAAATTGGAAGTTGCACCAAATGATTTGTTGTAATTCAGATGCAATTAGCCGACATAAAAGGCGTCAAATTGGAAGCACTGTCTGGGCCGTCTTTTTCACTCAATTCTGCAATATGTAGATCTCGCCTTTCACCAAGGCGGGGATCTTGGGCTTAAAAAGGTTGGTGACCACTGACTTAGAGAGTAGAGGTGGCTTAAAATCTCCTGAAAACAAATTCTTAAACCTGCTATAAATCCCATAATATTCACTCCTTTCTCATAATTTTAGATGTTAATTCGGTAGCTAAATGTGTCAGTGTCGTCTCCATGCCTTCATTATATCAAATTGACTTACACATCTGGCCCCAAAGTGACGTTGAGTGACCAAAACTCCAGCTGCCTCACCCATAGACGCCCATGTGATGTTAATATAAATATTTTTAAAAACCCAATCACCCCCGTTATAGCCTGTTCTGATGATTCTGATTTAAGTATTTATATGAATTAAGAAAACCAGTGTAATACAAAAATACCCCTTAAGTGTAATCGTCTATATTTGACTTTTTTTGTCATTTTTTTGACCTGTAGATGAATAAATGCTCCTGATTCTGTGTGTTTTGCAGGGGGTGTCGTTCACGCTGCGTCCCGGCGAGGTGACGGCCATCGTGGGGCCCTCGGGGAGCGGGAAGAGCTCCTGTGTGAGTCTGCTGGAAAACTTCTACCGTCCGCAGAGAGGAGAAGTTCTGCTGGACGGAAAACCTGTTCACACCTATCAGCACGACTACCTGCACTCCAAGGTCAGAACAACAAAAAGACCCATAGAGTGACTGTATCCTCACAGGAAGCTCAGGAAGAGGCATGTTTTTCAGATTAAAAGTACCAGTTACTTTAGTTTGAATGTGTGTTTGGTGGCGTGATCATTATTATTTAGAGTCATTGCGTGCCTATTGATTTGAACACGATCCGTGTATCCATCATTTCCTGGTCTTCTCTAAAGAAGAGGGACCAATGAAAACGTTGTCATGTTGCCGTTGTTCAGCATGGAAACATTCATTAGCTAACAATGACATTATTGTTATATTAATATAAAGGGAGGTCAGGTACTCTTTAAAACAGATGCTAGTTATGGGTACTTTTTACTGAAGTACATTTCAAAGCCCATACTTCTGTATCTGTACTTCTACTTGAGTAAAATGTGTGTGTACTTTTGCCATCTCTGGTTATGGATGTTCTTTTCAAAAATAGTAAATAGTAGATCATTCCTCCATGTTGTTGTTTGCAGATCGGTCTGGTGGGCCAGGAGCCGGTGCTGTTTGCTCGGACGGTGGAGGAGAACATCACCTACGGCCTCAGCGACGTCTCCATGGAGGCCGTGGAGCAGGCGGCCACCAAGGCTAACGCTCACGAGTTCATCAGCTGCCTCCCTACAGGCTACCAGACAAGTAATCACTAAACAGTTCACCTATTTCTGTGTTCCGATCCTTTAGGCAGCATCTCTCTTGTTCAATGGGTTTTATTTTATTGGATTATTGCAGAAAGTTATCTCAATGTTTATGATACTTACACGTGTAGTTCATTACATTACATGTCACTTGTTAGACGCTTTTATCCAAAGCGACTTGCATACTCAATACTGTGGGTAATCCCCACAGGAGCAATTTGGGGTGAAGTGTCTCAGGGACACAACGACATGCTGACTGCAGTGGGGTTTGAACCTGTGACCCCCTGATCCGAAAACCAATGCACAACCCACTGCACCACACGCCTACCTCAGTTCTCTAGTTCAGCAGGATAATCTCCACATAATAACACCACTTTATGATTTCTGAAGTAAAAAGCTAACGTTAGGCTATAAAGGAACTACAGCACGGTCACATGACTTCACGTCACCACCGCTAAGCTAAAGGCGGCTAATGTTGGGCTATAAAGGAACTACAGCACGGTCACATGACTTCACGTCACCACCGCTAAGCTAAAGGTGGCTAATGTTGGGCTATAAAGGAACTACAGCACGGTCACATGACTTCACGTCACCATCGCTAAGCTAAAGGTGGCTAATGTTGGGCTATAAAGGAACTACAGCACGGTCACATGACTTCACGTCACCACCGCTAAGCTAAAGGCGGTTAATGTTGGACGTGATGACGTTTAATCGTCTCATTTAGACACTTGTTGGCAACCATGGTTTTTAAATCCACCAGTGGGGTCAATAACATAACAATTATCAAGGTGATGTCAACATAACTTAATGATCGTAACAAGCCTTCATGAATTCCGCAAAACGCATGTCTTTATAATGTATAACGAAAAAACCCTGCTCAATTTATTCTATGAAGATGTGAGTCAGTAACGTTATTATCCTGATTGTTTCCCAGGTGTTGGAGAGAAAGGCACCCAGCTGTCGGGGGGGCAGAAACAGAGGGTGGCCATTGCAAGAGCGCTGGTCCGAAACCCTCGAGTCCTCATCCTGGACGAGGCCACCAGCGCTCTGGACGCAGACAGCGAACACATCGTGAGTGAAAAGCTGCATCAGTCAGATGATAATGTGCAGCAGCAGTAAGTGAATGCATCATTGTTCAGATGCAGTTTAGAACAGCAGTAAGTCCATTAAATGGTTGAAACCAGAACCTCCCACCTATAACTGCTGGATTCAGAGAGTGTGGGATATCCACCACATGGAGCAAATAACATTTATTACGCCTACAGAAAAATACATTTATCAAGCGATAGGCCCCTGTAATGGATCTACTAATACAGTAAGAATTGTTAACACCTTTGTATGTCACTTGTTTTCTCTTTCTGAAGATGTGGATGTGACTGAAATATATATTGTATTGTATTATTTTTGTTTATTTACTATTAATTATTTTTCTTATCTCCTAAGGTAGGCCATCTTTATTACATTTCTTTTTTAGCCCTGGAGTGGTACTCTGTTACTGGTTGTCTAATACTTGAAACCTATTCAAGATTGTATTGATACAGCTGGAAAAACTGAAGATGTGGATGTGACTGAAAGATATATTGTACTGTATTATTGTTTGAAGTTCTAAAAAAAGAGCAGCAGTAAGTGAACGCATCACAATTCAAATGCAAGCAAATGTTATGTAATGTTAGGTCACGTGACAAATGGCTAAGTCACCAGTAGCTATTTTGCATATGACAGAAGAAGCGTTTGGATCCTAACGAGTTAAAGATCAGTCGGTTTATGTCTCCTCTCTTCAGGTGCAGACGGCTCTGAACAGCATCATGCAGGACCACACGGTGCTGGTGATCGCCCATCGGCTCAGCACGGTGGAGAAGGCGGACAACATCATCGTCATCGAGAGCGGCCGCGTGGCCGAGCAGGGGTCTGTTGGGTTCTTTTGTTTGAAGACCAAGAGTTAGTGCATTCACACCAGCCTTCTATAGTCCGGTTGAATCGAACCCTGGTGCGTTTAGCCGCTTGGTGCGGTTCATTTGGGTCGGTGTGAACACAGTCCGAGACCTCTTAAGTGAACTAAACAACCGGACTCTGGTCCGCTAAAATAGGTGGTCTCAGAACGCTTGCTTGCGAACTCTGGAGCGGTTCATTGCTGGTGTGAACGCAGTCCGCACCAAAACATAGGAAGCGTAGTATTTACGTGTCACAAGAACGCGGATGTCTTCAACTCTTTAGCGAAAGAGTCTTTCAAGACATCCGCGGTTGTTTAGTTAAAGAGTGAAGCAGGATGAAGTGTTGAACAGTGTCGTGTAAAGTAAAAATGCTCCGTCAACTACATCAAATTAAGAACACCTGTCGTCTGTGAAACGCCCCTCCTTACTGCAGAACGTCTCTCATTATATGTGTTATAATGTTTTTTAACGGACGTTGTCTGATTATATAATCATATGCGCGGGCCGGTGCTCCATGGCGGAGGCTCCAGTAGAAATTGCCGGGATTTGCGTTTTTACCCCCTTAATGTCTGATCAATGGTTGAACAGCATTTCCGTGCACATGACTTGTGTTTAAAGTTTATAGTCCGTTTGAGTTTTGCCCGTGTGAACGCAAACCGAACCTTCTGAAAAATGAAACAATGTAACAAACTGTCGTCTGGTGCGCACCAGAGAAGCGGACTATTAGGTGTGAATGCACCCAGAAGACCAGGAAGCTTCTCGAAAAGTTTAATAGTATTTATTAAAGGTCCCCTGTTATACTGTTTCTTCATCAATATATTACAGGTCTCAGATATATACAGAACCTGTCTCTGATTGGCTGAAACACCAAACAGATCATTGCAGGATCCCATAATCCCCTCTGTTTCAGCCCTGTTTTCAAAGTGCTGATTCTCTGTCTGTTACTTTAGATGAAAATAAGGAGCCCCTCCCCACGCCCCTCTGAGAGATATGTGGTTAGAAAGAACACAATGGTGCTCTAGGAGGAGATTCAGGTGATAAGGGGGGGGGGGGGGTTACCTTGGTTGCTGATTGGCTAATGGTTACACAAGACAAAACATCATTATGACATCACATAGTGGCCAAAATCTGATCAGCTCATTTTCAGACAGGTTTTTATAGAAATGGATCAGGACTAAAAGAGAGAGAATCTTTGTTCCTGAAACTTTCAGAGTCTCTTTACACAGAGGGGACACATGGTGATGTAGAAGAGACATGAAGAAGAGGGGACACATGTTGATGTAGAAGAGACATGAAGAAGAGGGGACACATGTTGATGTAGAAGAGACATGAAGAAGAGGGGACACATGTTGATGTAAGAAAGAGACAGTGAAGAAGAGGGACACATGTTGATGAAGAAGAGACATGAAGAAGAGGGGACCACATGTTGATGTAGAAGAGACATGAAGAAGAGGGGACACATGTTGATTAGAAGAGACATGAAGAAGAGGGGACACATGTTGATGAAGAAGAGACATGAAGAAGAGGGGACCACATGTTGATGTTAGAAGAGACATGAAGAAGAGGGGACACATGTTTGATGTAGAAGAGAGACATGAAGAAGAGAGGACACATGTTGATGTAGAAGAGACATGAAGAAGAGGGGACACATGTTGATGTAGAAGAGACATGAAGAAGTGGGGACACATGTTGATGTAGAAGAGACATGAAGAAGAGGGGACACATGTTGATGTAGAAGAGACATGAAGAAGAGGGGACACATGTTGATGTAGAAGAGACATGAAGAAGAGGGGACACATGTTGATGTACGAAAAGAGACACATGTTGAATGGTAGAAAGACAGAAGAGGGGACACATGTTGATGTAGAATAGACATGAAGAAGAGGGGACACATGTTGATAGTAGAAGAGACATGAAGAAGAGGGGACACATGTTGATGTAGAAGAGACATGAAGAAGAGGGGACACGTGTTGATGTAGAAGAGGACAGGAAAAAAGAGGATTTTGCATAATACGTGACCTTTAAAATTCCGGCACAATATATTGATTATTTCTCCCAGGTCCCACAGCCGGCTGATGGCCAGCGAGGGGCTTTACTTCAAGCTGGTGCAGCGGCAGGTTCTGGGCATCGAGACGGGAGCCGAGGTCCTCAACCCAACGCAGGAACTCAGCTGGAAATCTGACGGAGGACAGAGGAGGAGGAGGAGGAGGAAGAGCAGCAGCAGCAGCAGCAGCAGCAGCGAGGCGGAGAGAAACATGCGCTACTGAGAATAAAGTGCAGGGTTTAGGGGATTTATGCATATGAAGGGATTCAAATCGCAAAAAAAAGGGACGCAAAATGAGTTCAAGACACAGAGAATCACCAAAAGGAAGACAAAAATGATTTTTAAAAAAGATGCAATGCTACCACAAAGAGACACGGACTTTTTAAAATTATTTTATTTATTCTACTATTTCAACAATTAGACAGTTTATCCACCCGAAAAACACACACAATTATTAGAAGTGAGAGGGCAGAAAGTAGAGTTTATACAGAGGAAGCTACAGGACACTGAAAACACTCCAGGAACTTTGTGATTACTGAACACATGGCATTCAGCTATATAATGTACACTTAGGTAGAAAAAAGAGGTTCACAATGACTACAAAGAGACAAACAATCACACAAAGGGACACTACATGATACAGAGAGACACTAAATGATACAGAGAGACACTACATCACACAAAGGGACACTACATGATACAGAGAGACACTACATGATACAAAGGGACACTACATGATACAGAGAGACACTACATGATACAGAGAGACACTACATGATACAGAGAGACACTACATCACACAAAGGGACACTACATGATACAGAGAGACACTACATCACTCAAAGGGACACTACATGAACACAAAGACACTAAAATACAGACAAATAGACACTTAACTGCTGCAAGAGGTGCAAAATGGTCACAATCAGACAGTAAATGAGATATGAAATGAACACAAAGACACATAACCACGGACACATAGACACAACACTGTTAAGAAATGGAGCAAAATGAGTACAAAGAGGTTTAAAAATGCAACCTTTTATTCAATAATCCACCTATATGTAATGTGTCGTGTCAGAATCATCTGTTAAAACACGCAGAGCAGCTCCATGGAGTTTAAATGAAGTTGAATGTATTCAAACATATCAGAGAGGAAATAATACTTGAATAAACTTGATTACTGATATGTTAGCTTTATCATGTTGCTGTTAATGTTCTGTATAAGGTTTGTTTAATGTGTCATTATCGCACTCCAGACTGATCAATGATCCATCTGTTGGTGCTTTCTTGTGTTTTGTTGCAGTAGCAGGTGCTTTGTGTTTATTGTCTGTTTAATTACATCATCATTATTTAAAGGGGACCTATCATGCAAAATGCACTTTTGTACGTCTTTTCTACATGAATATGTGTCCCCGGTGTTCCAGGGAACTCACCAAGTGTCAGAAAACACAACCCTCTCTATTTTCCTCCATACCCAAATCTCTAAAAAAGGGGCTGCAACGGATCTGATAAAAACTGATCCAGATTTGAACACTGTCCTGACGTCAGGACGGTGGCGCTACGGCTATTGGGCCAACTCCACCAATCAGGAGGAGACAGCCACGGCCATTGCCGTTCGAAAGCGCTGGAGACGCTGTAGTACATATGCCAGGCCTGTAGATGGTGCTGTTCTCACTGAATCTGCAAAAACAGAGCTAAATATGTCAAATTGAGCAAAATGAGGCATGGCTAAAATGCATGATCTGTTTGGTATTTTGAAAAAAAAAAAGTAGAAATATGCCTTGTATAGGTATGGTCCTACACTATATTATTCAAATATAGCATGATAGGTCCACTTTAAGAAAAATAATGTAATTCCACAAATAAGCTGCAAAATCAGGTGCCTTTGATCTATGATGATGTGTGGTGATGCAAGACTGTAGAGATGCTTAAAGTAACTCTGAACTGATGTGAATAAAGATATATATTTATTAAACAGTGTAAAGAATGTACTTGGCTTTATGTGTACAAACATGTAAACACTGGTACACTGATAGTATTTCTAAGATTGTTATGTCTCGCGTCAAACTATTTATTTAAATCCCTTTTTATTGTGTGTTTAAATACATATTATTTGACGGAAATACCATCAACTAACACATTTAATTCCCAAATGAATTCATACATCGTGCTGTACAAAGTACTCAGAGGGGGAAGAAGTACCTGAGTAAAAGTAGAAGTACTCAGATCTTGTACTTAGTATGGACTGGGATAAATATAGCTGGAGTTCTGTCCTAGCAGGTTGGATCATGGACAAACATTTGTATTTGTATTTAGTTACAAAAAGGCAGATTTATCTTAGTTTTGTAACCCTATGTTGGAGTTGAGGTACTGTATTTTCAGACATATTTAAAAAACATTTCAAACATAATTGTTGAAGAAACATGACAAAGAAAACAGAGACAGACGCAGTGTACAGATGACTCATGCGTTTTGAATGAAACCCAACCTGATAAACTGTCATGATGAAGCTCCACCTATCACCTGACTCGCATGTGACTAACCAGGAAACAGGTTGTTATTCTGCCTCGCTGAGACGACACACACACACACACACACACACACACACACACACACACACACACACGGACTATAAGATTCAACTTCACACCAAACACACCTCTTCCACTGAGAGGACGTCCACAGGAGGGAATACTGGAATACCTTCCACTTCAAGCAGCTGCTGAATCCACACACTGAGAGTTTGACCAGAACAAAGACTCAAAGTGAAAGTAAGTCTCAGGGAACAGGGAGCAGCTGCTGCTGAGTTTACTGCTTCACTCACAGACAACATGGCTTCCAGATTAGAGGAAGATCTCTGCTGTACTGTCTGCCATGATATCTTTAGAGATCCTGTGGTCCTGTCATGCAGCCACAGCTTCTGTAGAGACTGTCTGCAGAACTGGTGGACGGAGAAAGTCATCAAAGAGTGTCCACTTTGTAAGAGACCTTCAGTTTATGAACCTCCCTGTAACCTGGTGTTAAAGAACCTGTGTGAGAGTTTCCTACAGGAGAGAGATCAGAGATCTCCAGAGGCTCTCTGCAGTCTGCACTCTGAGAAACTCAAACTCTTCTGTCTGGACCATCAGCAGCCAGTGTGTCTCGTCTGCAGAGATTCAGAGAAGCACAGCGACCACAGATTCAGACCCATCGATGAAGCTGCACGACAACACAAGAAGGAGCTTCAGGAAACTCTGCAGCCCTTAAAGGAGAAGTTAGAGACTTTTGAAGAAGTTAAAGTGAAGTTTGATCAAACAGCAGGACACCTAAAGTTCCAGGCTCGACGCACAGAGACGCAGATTAATAAGCAGTTTAAGAAGCTTCACCAGTTTCTAGAAGAGGAAGAGGAGGCCAGGATGGCTGCACTGAGGGAGGAAGAGGAGCAGAAGAGGAGGATGATGGAGGAGAAGATGGAGGCTGTGAGCAGAGAGATAGCAGCTCTTTCACACACAGTCAGAGCCACAGAGGAGGAGCTGAGAGCTGAAGACGTCTCCTTCCTGCTCAACTACAAGGCTGCAGTGGAGAGGCTGCAGCGCCCCCTGCTGGAGGATCCACAGCTGCCCTCAGGAGCTCTGATAGACCAGGCCAAACACCTGGGCAACCTCAGCTTCAACATCTGGAGCAAGATGAAGGACTTGGTGTCCTACTCTCCTCTCATCCTGGACCCAAACACTGCTGATCCAAACCTCATCCTGTCTGAAGATCTGACCAGTGTGAGACGAGGAGGAAAGGAGGAACTTCCTGATAATCCAGAGAGGTTTGATGGTTACTTCTCTGTCCTGGGCTCTGAGGGCTTTAACTCAGGGACTCACAGCTGGGATGTCCAGGTTACAGACAATAAATGGTGGGAACTGGGAGTGTTAGCAGAGTCTGTCAAGAGGAAGGGATTCATACGGTCTGGATTATGGAGAATAGATTATAATCAAGGTGAATACTCAGCACTGTCACCATCAGATCCAGAAACTCCTCTCAGCCTGCAGAAGGAGCTCCAGAGGGTCAGAGTGGATCTGGACTGGAACAGAGGAAAGCTGTCGTTCTCTGATCCTGACACTAACACACACATACACACCTTCACACACACTTTCACTAAGAGACTGTTTCCATACATTAGCACTTGGGATCTACACACACTTAAGGTGTTACCAATGAAGGTCTCTGTGACTGTAGAACAACAGATATAGATGATGATGATGATGATGATGATGATGATGATGATGATGATGACGATACTTGTATCACCTACAATTCTGAGACTTGTTTAAGGCAGGAAGATTTATCTTGAAAATGCTCCACTTGGAAGATAATGTGTAACTCGTCTAAATATGTAAATGCTCACCTGACTAAAGCGAGCGCTGACAGAGTGATCACAGGTTTAGCCAAGTACTCCATGCTCTGGTGCACCACGATGCTGTCGACCGCTTTCCCGTAGTAGTACGGGATGAAGGCCTCACCTGCAGGACCAAAGGACAAATAAATATCATGTTAGTTTCATGTAAATATCATGTAAATATCATGTGAATAAGAGCTGGACACAAACAGGGGTTTCTGGGTCTTAACCGTTCTGATATTTCACATCATCAATTAGCAAGTCAATTGCACAAGATCTGAGTACTTCTAAGTAAAAAAACTTTTTCAAATGTTTTATTTTTTGGGGTGACAAACAAAAAGCAACACCAGGGTAACTTTTTTGTAACCCTTTAAAACAAACTAATAACAAAGAAAAATTTAAAAAATGACAAAGTAAATAAAACAATAATAACATATGTTTCATAATGACTTCAGAGTTTGATTGACAAAAAAAAGATATTGTCAACTCTATTAGTAGATTGTAATTTATAAAATGTGTAATACATCCAAAATATCTTTCTAGCCACTTAATTGCGAGGATTTGATGCTTTACTTTGTTTATGTAATGAACATGGAGGATTGAGAACATGTTTGGTTAAAATGGGGTCTAATAATGGATATTTTGATATACACCAATAATGATTATGAGTCAAAGTATAATCTGCAGAATAATCAATTATAGCGTTTTAACAATGTTAGGAGTCACTTTAAAGGTGCAGGGACATGTAATGGAGCTTTCTTTTAAATTGTATTAAATGACTTATATGCAATATATCTTCAACAATAAATCCACTTTGCTCTGTCCTGATCTCTCAGTCTGTTTCTTTTATTATGTCTCTGCAATTTTCTTTTTTAAAACATTGTTTTTCCTCCTTTTAGTGAATTAGTCGACTAATCGATAATCGATAGGAATGGATCCAACACATTGTACGTGATACGTGACGTGACGTGGCAAGATGGCGGGCCTCTGTTTGGCTACACCACTCATCTTGCCCATAGATATATATAAACACTAGATGGCTCATGGGAGATTTTCCAGCGTAGCTCACCGGCCGCCATCTTGCTACAGTCAACAGCTCTGGTACGCGCTATGGTAGCTGTTGTAAGGTGAGTGATCTGCACAAAAATACTCTTAACTCGCTGAAATCTTGACTGATTTACAAACGGTTTGGTTTATTATAAACATTATTAGCATGGCTATGCTACAGGATGCTTGGACATGTTGAAATTGCAGCTTTTCTTTGTGTATGTGGTTGTATTTATTAGCTGGCTAATAGTGAGACCTAGTATTACAAAGTTGACCTTTGAAGCTGAAAGGATCAGATGTCTACAGAAGCTGAAAGGATCAGATGTCTACATCAACGAGCATCTGACCAAGTACAACGGCGACATAGCCAGAAAGGCTCGCTTCATGAAAAAACAGAAGAAAATTCAGAACACCTGGACAACAAACAGCAAAATATTTATAAAGCTAAACGGAACACCTGAGGAGGCCAAAGTACTGGTCATCAGAAACATGGAGGATCTGGATAAATACCAATAATCTTCATGTTCTGGACCACACATAAGGTAACAAGCACTTACACACAACCATGACTCACACTGAATGGAGGCAATCATCTTCAAAAGGGGAAAATATTAATATGTCTCAGATGATCAAGGAACAAGACCAACTGTTGCTAAAAACATTTGAATACACTGACTATAAAACAAAAGATCTGGATTATGAAATAGACCCGGACAATAATTTATTCTCTTCTATCATCAACAAATGCTGTTATTACACTGATCAACAGTACAACCAGAGCATATCATCAGAGGGCAAGCTATCTATTATTCACTTCAACAGCAGAAGCATGTATGCAAACTTTAATCTCATCAAGGAATATTTAAATCAGTTTCAACAAACATTTAGCATCATTGCCATATCTGAAACTTGGATCACGGAGGCATAGACTTTGAGCTGGAGGGTTATGAACTCAGATACATAAATAGACAGAACAAGGGTGGAGGAGGAGTAGCCTTGTATGTGGA